TCATCTCTCCCCGTATCTTTAGGACTTCTAACTAACTTTTTATTCCTTCTTAAATATATATATTTTTTAAATTTATATCGTTGTTAGTTATTAAATATTAGTCATTTAAAAAATTTAAATTGAATATTAGTCATTTACAAAAAATTAAATTAAATTGTAACAATACAAGTGTTGCCTTGTCATTTATTAATAAATACAGCAACATTTTTCACATTAAACAAAACATACATACACAGCAAACAATTCCATTTCGTTTTGAACATGAAAAAAGGGATTTAATTAATTTAGTACACACAACAACAACAGCAACATTAAACATTGATGTAACGCCAGACAAGTCCGCAGAGCAGACAAGAGTGGGTCACACAAGACAACAGCCGACAAAGGACATCTAAAGAAATTAAAAATGAAAGCAAGAGAAAAAAAAAAAAACAAAATAAACTTAATGTGTCAACTGGACTACAATGTATGTACACAATTTTATATATATAGAGAACATGTTGATGATTAAAATGTGGACTATAAGGTGGGTCTACCACAATTTCAACCAATTACATTTTCATAACTTAAAATCTACTCAAATAGTGACTTGACCTATATATTGGCTAAAAACTCTTAAGTCAATTATGTCAATCAAGAAATTTCTTAATAAAAAATTTACACTGACTTCGGAAACGATCCATTTTTTTTGTTAATTTTTGTTATTTATTTAGAATCCAAAGTTCCACTCTTGAAGGACTCGAACATTAAAGTGTGAAAGCCAGAAACATAAGCAAAACATCAAACATAAATGATTGGATCGAACACTACAAACATCCACGCTTAAAGATCTTAAACTAACGAGTTGTAAGGTCTCAATCAAGCTTCTACAAAAGGCATCAAACATCTACATTTGAAGGCCTTGAATATCAACTCAAATGTCCATGTTGGATTTAATGCGATAAAAATTATTTTTAGCCGGGCCGAACTTTGAATTCCCTCCATCATTTGGAACGATTTTGGCAATTCTCAAAAACAATAAAATCCATTAAAAATTCTGTTAAAATCTAAAAAATACATAATGTAGCTGTTATATTAGGGTCTATACGACGACATGGACCTGCATAGGTAAATTTTTCATAAGTCATTATAATATTCAAATGCGACACCTAAAAAATCGGTGAATAATGTATCTAAAATCATCAAAATACCGTATATCAGTAGGTACCGTTAGACAATTTTCTGTCGTAGGCTGTAGTATCCATTACGCACTTCAAATACCAAATTTTAAACAATTCCGGTGAATAATGTCGCTAAAATTATCAAAATACAGAATATCGGGAGGTACCGTTATATGGGAGCTATACAAAGACGTGGACCTGCAGAGATAATCTCCTGTTGTAAGCTCTAGCATCAATTACGAACATCAAATACCAAATTTGAAAGAATTCCTGTGAAAAATGTCGCTAAAATCGTCAAAACACCGAATATCGGGAGGTACCGTTATATGGGGGCTATACCAAAGCGTGAACCTACATGGTCCATTTTTAATACCAAAAGTCCTGCATGCATAATATACATTTGAGTAAAATTTTATGAGTCTACTTCAATTCTTTCGGAAGCTAGAGTGATTTCCACAGACAGACAGACCGACAGACGGATAGACGAACAGACGGACGGACATCGCTAAAACGACATAGAAATTAAATACTGATAAAAATATATATAATTTGTGGGGTCTAAAATGTATATTTCGAGGTGTTACAAACGGAATGACAAACTTCATATACCCTCCAACTTTGGTGGAGGGTATAAAGTCAATTAATTTGTTAAATATCAAAAAACAAAAAACATTTTTTTTTTATTTTTTTGGAAAATTTTGGATTTTAAGGTTTTTAACAAAAGTTTTCTGTGAAAGCTGAATTGGCCGCCCAAAATTTATTTTCAATTTTCCAATTTTTAATAAAACCACAAACTTTAGGCTGACATTGGCATTTTACCCTACCCCTCTTATTACCCCCCAAAAAAATCTCTTATTTTTTTCCTTGAAAACATTTTCTCCGTCTCATATGTATGTATATATGTATGAGTATGACAAAATATTAAAACAACATGGTCAATTTTAACAGCATTTTACAAACAAGTGTTTTTTTTCGTTCTGCAACATCACATGGTACCCACCAGCAGCAGAAGCAGCAGTCAAGCGGTACTACCACTTTAAGCGACATGTTAAATAAACAAAACAAAATAATAAAATAAAATTTTATAACAAATAAAAAAAAAACGGAACACAAACATGGCAGCATACAAACAACATTAAACTAAATTTACATGTATACACACGCATACATTCATACATGGCTACCCCCTTTTTTATAGATGTAAAAATATTCAAAGGATATGAATATTCATATCAAAGGGTGGGGTGGGGATGGGAGTGTGGGTTTAACATGCCTAGGATGCTGGTGTTTGAATATCACATCACATCTATAATGATACACAAACAACGGCAGCAACAACACCAGCATCAGGAACAAAGGAGAAAATGTTAATCAACACCCTGGTTTAACAACATCAACAACTGGACCCTACGAACTACCAGTAAAAATATTATATTTTACATGCCATTGAAGATGGGGTTGTTTTTGCTGTTGTTTCGGGCTTACATGAAGGGACCATGTTTAATTCATGTAGCCAATTTTTTTATAGCATCCTTTATCAAGAGGAGGAGGAGGGTATACTAAGTTGGTTGGTTCATATATGGGGAGTTATTGCAAAAAAGTTATGGATTAGGTGAGGATTTTGTAGTGACATTTTAAATAGAGAATTTTTCAAATTCAAATTTCAAACATTTTTTAAGGGAGTAGATATGTCCCTTTTCCAAACTTCGACCCTGAGGTCCTTCAAAAAACAATTATTCGAAAAATTAAAAAAAAAAAATTAAATCAATTAAAAGTGTCATTTGAGTAAATCGTTTCTCCTCAATCAACTAAAAATCAATTTTCCAATGTTAACTTTCCGACCCAATGTTTACTAAAATCGAAGGGGATAAAATTCTAACTATTGAGTTTGAATTATCATGCCAAAGTAGTATTTTAATAAAAACAAGAAAAAAAGTAGTAAGTTCGGTGGGGTCCAACTTAGAATATCCTCCACCATTTGCAACAAATTTGAACATTCTCTAGAAAAAAAAAAAATAAAAAATAAACTCCGTTAAAGACCGAATATAGGGAGTTACTGTTATATTGGGCTATAATCGAAGACATAGACCTACTTTATATCCATAGGCCATTACGATATTCGAATATGAAACTTGAAACAATTCCGGTAAATAATGTCGCAAAAACATCAAAATACCGAATGTAGGGAGGTACCGATATATGGGACTATAAGAAGAACTGAACCAACATGAAGACCTGGACCAACATAGACAATTTTTCGTAACTTCAAATACGAAATTTGAAACACTTCTGGGGAATAATGTCGCTGAAAATCGAAATTGGGGAGTTACCGTTATATGGGGGGGCTATACGAAGACCTGGACCTGTATAGACAATTTTCTGTTATAGGCTATAGTACCCATTAGGAACTTCAAATATCAAATTTGAAACAACCCCGGTTAATGATGTAATAAAAATAAAAATCTAAAAAATACCAAAAATCATAAAAATATCGGATATAGGGAGGTACCGTTATATGGGGGCAGGACATGCATATTCAATTTTTTTGTCATTGACTCTAATACCCATTCGGAACTTCAAATACGAAATTGAAACAATTCTGGTGAATAATGTCATAAAAATAAAAATCATAAAAATACCGAAAATCATAAAAATACCGAATATAGGGAGGTACCGATATATGGGGTCTATAAGAAGACCTGTAATAGCATAGCCAATTCTCCGTCATAGACTGTAGTACCCATTAGGAACTTCAAATATAATAATGGGAATAATGTCGCTGAAATCCGCAATCAACCTAGTATGGCGAGTATATGTCGCTTAAATCATGAAAATGCAGAAAATAGGAAGGTACATGGGGGCTATAACTAAACGTGGACCAATATAGCCTAATATTAAAAGACCTGCAGACGAAACACAAATTTGAGTAAAATTTTATCAACCTACTTCAATTCGTACGGAAGTTGGACTGATTTCCACAGACCGACAGACATAGCTCATAGTTAAATCGACATAAAATTTTATGCTGATCAGTAATATATATACTTTGTGGTGTCTAAAATGTGTATTTCGAGGTGTTACAAAAGTAATAACAAACTTGATATACCCACCATACTATGGTGGAGGTTATAATAGGTTATGTGTTAGCTGTGGGTTTGATATTGAAATTTTGAGTATAGAATACCTCAAAATCGAAATATTCCTAAAGGGAATATATATATGTATATTTTGGCCAGAAAGTAATCCTGATTAAATAGTAAATATTAACATAGTAATATAGTTCAGAAGATCGCCAAAAAAACGTGTGAAGATGGGGATATGGCGTGATTATAAGGGCCACCATTTTTGAAAATGTCTCGTAATACTTAAATTTGAGATAATACTAAGATGTCACATGTCCCACAAAACACTATTTAATTATACTTACCCATTCACATATTTGCCATTTTCAATTAATTATCGAAATATTAAAAAGGCAGCCTAAAAAAATTGAGGGGATCACATAAGGTATCCAAAATCTCCAAAGTTCACTGAAGATCATATTTTGACCTTATAAATATTTTGTTTTTTTTCCGACTACGAAAAATGTCAACCCAAAAAATACCTCTACAAACTTGCCAGTTTTTTCTCAATATATTTTGGAACCATATTTATTCAATTTTAAGTTCTGCATCCATGACTAAAGGTATATCTTATACGGGGATAACAAACTCCAATCTCACCTATTTTTATTATCTTATTTACATATTACCTCTACATACCAACCCCTTCATCTGTTATATCTATTTGAGCTCTAATATTGTCTCTTCTCTCACTCTCTCATTCTCTTTTTTATTTCAGGTTTCACATAGATAAGCGTTGTCAACACCGTTGTTCCTGGAAATGTTTGAGTATCGCCTTAATTCTAATATCAGTCGTCCTAACAGCCATGTTGGCATATTTTGCAGGTAAGAGACCGACCAGCTTCTATGTTTATTTAGCAATTTCATTATAAAGCACACAAGAACAGCAGATCCTTGGCATTTTTCTATTCATGCAGTCTTATTATCTAACGTTTATGTGAATATATGTGTTTTTTCCGTATATGTATGTAAATAGCTATTATGAATATGTAAACACATTCAGGAAGCATCTACATGATGTGTGCTGTTGTTTTTTTTTTTTTTTTTGTTCTTGTCTTCTCTATGTCATGTTAAGAGGACATGCTTTTGTCATCACATGACTAGTCATCAGCTAACAACAGTTAGTTATATTCAAATAGTTTTAGATTAATTAAAACTAGCTGGAGATTAGCTGGCGCGCAATGGTGGCCGGCAGATGGAGGATGGAAGAGGAGGTGTGAAATTAAATAAATGGTGAAGGGGGCGGGGTTTGTTTGTATTCTTTCTCTTAATGTGATTAGCAAACACTACCTTTGTGTTGTGAATGCCATAAGTGAATGTTAGCCGTTTTTTTTTTTTTTGTTTAATGAGGGTTAGTTTTATGAGGGTCTTTTGTACAGTTTCAAGGATTTGGACAAATAAGATTTTTTTAGAAAATACTTCCTAGAATGATGACACAATTCATTTTCTTAAAAGAAGATTAAAAAATACAAGTCAAAAAGGGTGTAATTTATTCGGCTCCAATTTTTCATATCCACCATTATGAGGAAAATCTATATAATGGAAAAATTATTGAAAAAAAAAAGAAGTTCAGTTCTTTGCTATATTATAAACCTACCCGTTTTAGCGAAATCTGCACCCGTAAAAGTATGCTATAAAGATGATAAATATAAAATGTTAAAGAATCACATTACATGTGTCTGAACCATGCCCTGTAAACTGGCCTTTATAAAGTAAAAATCAAAAATTAAAAAAAAGAAATACTCAGCGAAGTCCTGCCGGGATTGAACCCCAGATGTTGCTATCACAACGTTCGAAGCCATCAAACAATGTTTCTTAAAGGCCAGTTTACACATTATGAATGAATCACATGTAATGTGAATTTTCATATTTGTGTGTAGCATTTTTAGAGTATACTTTTAGGCGTTCCTCACTATTTTCAATCTAAAAAATTACAAATTTTCTTTTTGGTTTCGAGGGCGCTTCAAGTACAGTACACACAAATGACTCCATTATCATATGTGAAGTAGCCCATTTGTTTGGAAAATGTGTCTAAAATATGACAATACTAAAAATATGATTCACTCAACTTTTAAATGAATAGAGTATAGAGTTTTAATTTTAATTTAAAGACTGTTGGGTTTTTATAAAAATGGAGGATATAAAGGTCACTTCAAATTCAATCATAATGTGGTACTTAGCCTTAAATCATCCACACCAAACATGTCTGATAAACTTTTTAATCAACAGCAAAATAAGTCTCAAAAAAAAAAAATAACTCAAAAAATTTTCCAGGTTTACAACAATTAGTTAAGTCGATGGTGCTTTTTCAGAACCTTTAATTTATATCCTACCTATACCTCCACACATCGTCCCTAAGCTATATTAAATATTCGTTTACGTATCCCAGTCTAGGATAGGCATCGACTTTAAACATTTCTAATTTCGAATTCAACAAAAAAATCGAATTTTGAGTTAAGCATTTCTATTCACTAAACTTAAAATCTGTTTTCGATTTCGACTTCCCAACCCAAAGTCAACTAAAATCGGGTGTATACACTGAGAAACCAAAGAAACTAATCAAATCAAATGTGGCCAAGAACCTCGCAGTAGCTGAAATCAGGTTAAGCCTTTATATAAGTGCCATACCAAAACGCGGACCGGTATTGATTTCTGCTTGGAGGTTTACCAAGAGCTCAAAACAGGAAAATTTGCCGGAATTAGTTGAAAAGTGTACCTAAAACATAAGAAATTCCTGAAATCCCCTTAGCTGGAACCTATACTTTTGCGAAGTATGAAGAAGATTATGAAGATTATGTTAGAGCCCATAATCCTTTGCTGAGAAACTAAAACCTTCCTGAGTTTTGATCTTGGAAACAAATCGAATTACCTCCACTTAAAACGTTCCCCTTCTCAGACCCTGACCCTAAAATTGTTGTACAGTGTAATAAAAACTTAAAAGGTCATTATTCGTAACATACTTGTAGGCTCAAATAACATTAAAAAAATCGTAAACCATAAATCGTAATCAGGTGTTTCGAAAGTTGATTGTGAAAAGTCGATATGAGACTTTTAGGACCAGCATAAGTCGATTAACCTATGTTCGGGTTCAATATATACTGTTTATACCGATTCACGAAAAATTTCCAATATCTTTACCATAGAGTTAAATTTGTCTAAAATTTCACATGCTGAACTCTAAACTAAAAACGCATTTTTCGTTGCATACTTTTTGGCTCCAAATCTTAATCGTCAAATCAAAATTCTGTTACAAAACGACGACTTGCGATTTTAACTCCAGAGAAAGTCGATTAAATGAATGTCGTACTTCCTATATCTTGGTTTTACAAATTCACGCGAAATATCTAAAATGTTACTTTGGGGTTAAGTTTCTTTAAAATTTCCCGTGAAGAATACAATACTAATTAAATTCGCATTATTTGGATTAAGCCAAACTATAACAGCTTAAATTCTAATTATTTTTCATAGAAAACAGGATCCTACTTACACATGTACATATGTGTGTGTGTGTTTGTATGCTCCAAAGCTTTGCATAAATTATAACAAATCCTGGCCCACGGGTGGTGGGTTTACGTGTACGGGTTTTTTATTTTCGTACCAAAGTCTTTCACCTTTAAATGCTAATCTTATTAAAAATGTATGCTCGCACACACACACACACAGACACGTGAATATGGGAGATATTAATGTATGTGTATGTATGCGTACATAACATTTGTCCACACACACGGTTCTATACAAAATGACGGACATGATGTGTACATTTCTGTATAAAGATGTGTTTATTTTGTTAATGAGAAGCTTTTTAACATTTTCAAACTGGGATCATGTTCACTATCTAACTGTCTGCACGTCTGTCTATTCATTTGCTTAGTTTTTTTTTCTCTCTCCCCCTCAGCCGTTTTACGCTGCTTAATTGGTATGTATTTATGTTAAACAAACACTACTGCTTAATCGTTTATATGCGCAAGCATGTAGATAGATGTACATATGTATGTAAATATCCAATATATATGTATGTGTGTGTATATATATCCTGATAACACACGTCCCATTTGGTATTATAACAACACTAATGCCATCTAATTTGACTTTATTCTAGCAGGAATAATAATGTTAGTGCTCTGGGCAAAATTGTTTTAGTTTTTCGATGAGGAAATGAGCATATTAAACGCCGTTTTGTAAACGCTGCAAACTAGCAGGGCTAAAAAAAGCGCATAATAAATGCCAGCTGGCAAGGATCATTGTAGTTTACATAGAGAATATGAGTGTTATGGCCATAGAACAATGAGAATGCTGGGGAAATGTCAATACTAATTAACCCTTCCTGTCATGAGGTCCTAACAAAAAAAATTTCAAGCAGTGAATTTTTTCATGCGTTTTCTATGATAAATTAATCTCTCCCAAACTTACCTACTAGCCGAAATTCTCGGCAAACTATTTAAATTTCTATAGCTTCCATAAATTTGTTATTTCACTCCGCCCCACCCAAATTTCGAAAAAAAGATAAATTAGTTTGCTTACCACGACGATTATGATGAACATTAATTAATTTACGCACATAAATTATTTTAACACCATATAAATGTCATACTTGTACAATTTGGAAAATAATTTCTTACCGCAAAGTTTGGTTGCCAACGTATAGCACCCCCTCGCCAAGTAAATCACCAACCATCATCGTCATAACAACAATTCCGAGTGATGAGTGCAAAATGAGAAAATAAACTCAATTAAACTTTTTCGAAAACGATGTTTTATAGAAATGTTATTGTTGTTGCTGGAATTTTGTTATATTCTCTTTCCCAACAATAAAGTTGGGAAATGTGTTGTTGTTGTTGGTGGTTTTTTTGGTAATCTATTAATGTCAGTGGCAGAAGGGAAAAGAGAATGGTTTTTGAAAAAAATAAATTGAACATTTAATTTTTATTTTTCAAAAACGATTAAACATTTGAATAAAACCACCTACATAAATAGGAAAAATAGGTAATATGAAAATATTTTTATAACTCCCTCCATACTACATTATATTTGATATTTCGTTTGTAACTCCTAGGAATAAAAAATTCAGACCCAGAATAGATTCTATGTCTTCTGTCCGTCTGTCTATGGAAATGAATGTAGCTTCTTCACGAAAGGATGTAGGGTGAAGATGTATTTTAGATCTGTAGAATTATGGGTATTGAAAATGGGATATACCTATAGGAAACATCCTTACAGAGAATTGTACACATAGATTTGAGTTCTGGTGTAGGACCAATATACCCAATGTACAACCTTTATGCGATATTTTGGTTATTTATATCACACTTTTCCCTGAAATTGTATAAAATTTGTTATATGAAGTTCGTAATGGAAACCATCTCCACTCAAAGAAAATTGCGTATACAGGTCCATTTCTTGGCATAACCCTCAGATATATATACCTCCCAATATTCGGTATTTTCATAATTATAACATCAGTAATATGGCTAAAGAGGAGGTATATCATTTGATAAGACCAAAACCTGAAACATCGAAATAACAATTTAAGACTAGATCTAGATTTTTGTACTTCCAAAGTTCGCTGGATGATTTTTCATCAGAATTCTGTCAAATTTGTTATTTGCACTTCGTAATGGATATCACCTCTACTGATTGAAAATTGCTTATACATGACTACTTACGTCTTATAAGAACCCCCATATAAAGGTTCTAGCCATATGGCTAAAGAGGGTATATGTTTCATTAGATACGGCCAAAACATGCCTCATTGAAATAACGATTTTAAAGACTATATATCCCTTGGACCAAATCTGTTTCAGGAAATTTGGAGTCGATCTGGG